CAATCAAGATCGAGGTCAACAGAACAAGCAACGAGTCATCAGTGGAGAAATTCGAATACTTCCCTTTTATCTGAAGTTTGTACTGGTGATGTTGTTCAGAAGAACAATGAAAACTCCACAACCGAAACATCCAGCTCCGAGAACGAAAGTCCATCATCATCATCATCCACTTCAGCGACAGATTTGCTCCATCATATTATAATTTCAACTTATCAAATTATAGCGGACTAAACAACGCAGACCGGCAACAAAACGTGTTCTCTTCATTCTATGAGCTTATACCTTGAAATATTAGTTATTGCTTGTTCTTAATTAATTTAGGAATCATTCCATCACATTTTTGTCTATATGAGTCAGGAAATTCAACTAAATACTAGAAGATTCACAAAATCTCACGTTCGTTTGAGCGTCATTTTCTTACAGTAACAAGTGAAATAGAAATCTTTTGTTACGTTTATTGAATAGCTAAGCTGGAATGAAAGGGTATGCTGATTCTTTCCCAACCTAATTATAATTTCGTTATAAATGGGTTGAGATATTCGAAGTAGACAGACAATACGATTTTACTTCTAAATGCCATCAATTGCACTAGGAATTTGTGGCCAAGAAGAAAGGGACTTTTTTGAAGGCCTATTAAAAAACTCCTTTCGTTTTGAAAAAGCATAGTTAGAAATGCGTATTATATATGAGATTCGATCACATTATAATAGATTTTGATGCACGTAGTATTACAAATTTTTCTCGAGTTCTCTTTTTTTAAACAACTTACTGATATGCCTTCGTATAAATATTGGTCGACTTTGAGAAGTTAAGGCTTGTAAATTTTCAATCTGTAGATTTTTTTCAAAATATGGATTATACGACTCATCTTGGAGATGATCAGATTTAAAAACATCATCAAACCAATATATGAAAACCAAATTAATCTATTTCGAGATACTTGTCAGGGACGATCTGTGAATAATGACTCTTTAGAAAGGTCCCAATCAAAGCAACTACTGAGGGTTCATAAATATTTCTTTTCACATGGATTAACCACTGATTAAGAGCTCAAATTCACAAAATTGAATTTTTCAGATGGTCCTGCTTGTGGCTGGTAATAAAGTAGTACACTTTAGAGATTCTCAGTCCAAACTTGAAATGAAATCCTCAAACTGCAAATGGAGTATAGCTTCATCGTCAAATTAAAAAAGCACAACACTTTTGGTGCTTGGTGGTGTGAATGTAAGTACATTTTCTATGAAAATGTCAATGGTCACGTCGCTTCAGCAGAATCCTTCTTCAAAGTCATCCATACAGTGGGAAGATATGGCTCAAATGGAATACAAGTCGGAAACTCATTTACTTCAGAGACGTTAGCAATTCACAAATTCCAGACTAATCTTTAGGTATAAAAATGGTTTGTCCAAATTCTCATTCTGCTACGTCTTCAACCATTCCTCTCACCTATGATCGATAATCCTTTGTCAGTGCTGTTTTATTAGCTCTTCATAACTGTTAATGATCTATTATTGAGCTATTTATTTATTCTGCTCTTCACGTCTACAAGGTGGACAATAATAATCTGTGATCTATAAAATAGCTTTTTTTCACAAAAATAACCTACATTTAATGTTTGATTCTTCAAACATTCTACGACTCTGTATTAATAATTTCCGAATATTTGTCAAATTGAAAAATACGTCCCATCTGCAATCTGTTTAAAATTTGAAGACGCTTTCAATCACTTTCTGAAAGATGCAATACTGATCTATTTTGTTATGAACTTAAGTATATTACTGAATAACTAATACGACTATACAGCTTTGGTAAATGACGTCATCGGACAAAAAAACTTCTTCCCTGAATTATTTTTAGCTCAACGACATTGTGGGGTATTTTGTTATCATAAATGACTAATTAGAAAAAATTTCTATGAATGTCTTAAAACAACGGAATTTAACTTACGTCGATCAGCATATAATAATTAGTAATTCTGATATGTGAATTTAATAGAGAAACAGATAAGAATGTTGCTAACAAATTCTTTAGAACAGAAAATTTCTCTTACTGTGTTGTTATGCAAACAGTAGTGTTTTCGTTTTATTTCCTTCGGTTTGTGTAGAGAGTTTTGATTTGTGTTTTGTTAGTTACCAAAGCAACGATACTGGATCATTTCGTAATGGGAATAACGAAACAACCTCAATAAACTTTTTTGCAGTAGCTTAGAACATGTAAAATTTATACTGAAATTATTGATAAAAACGGATTGTTTTTTAAATTAAATTATGATCGTTTGTTTGCATAGTGGGTTTGTACGCAAATGGTTGTTGGGCGTATTAGTGAGATGAATAATTTTCGTAAGAATGAGCAGGTTTCAGTGTGCTAAACTGCTTAAAATAAGTCACAATCTGTAGTTAGCACCATTTCTAGCTGTCTTTAAATGTCACAATAAAAAATTAATAAAGTACAAATTGGTTGGCAGGCTTTAAGATGACTTTTGTTAGCAGTACAGTCTCCTTGATTCAATCAAAGAAGATAATGTTCTGATCGAACTCGAAACTCAATAAATTGGGTTGACTGATGAAACTAAAAATAGGTCTTTTTTGCAAATAATGTCCGAAATTCTTTGTGCAGTCTTTTATATAATAAAAAAGATCAACAACAAATTGATGAAAATTTTGATGTATGAAACATGATCACTTATCGTATCTGTCTACGCTTCCACTGACTGCAGTTCAGACGAGGTTAAAAATGAGTTTTAAAGAAAGCTTTTGGACCTCCTACAAAATGTTAAACGCTCTGATATAGTAATAATGGCTGGCAACTTCAATGCTCAAGTAGGTACATTAAATGAAAATGAAAGAAATTTGGGTGGATCTTATGGTTTCGCGGCTGAGAGAACAGACTTTGGCGACCGTCTGTTGCAACTGTGCTCAGATAACCGCCCATTTCGAGCAAACACTAAATTAGGCATAAGGAAAAACATCTTTTGACCTGGCGACTCCCGAAGTCGTCTCAACGCTGGACCCTACTAGATCACATCGCCATCAGCCGCCAATGGAGCGGTTCAATAGAGGACTGCCGCTCGTTCTGGGGCACATGTTTAGATTCAGATCATGCCCTAGTGCTAGCGCGTAGGAAAGACAGCGCGAGGAAACATCTTAAGATTATACTTAATGATAATAAAGCTAAGAATATATTTCAGGAACAACTAAAGAGAGAGTTAGGCGACCATCTAAGAGATTTTCATCCGGAGTCAGGTTGGAATGATATCAAAAAAATGCTGTGGAAACAGCAGTGATATCTGCTAATAAGGTAAACCATAAGGCTAGGAAGAAGCTGTGGATCTCAGCAGCATCTACCGAACTGATGGATGCTCGAAAACTCATCCCACCCTGCTCTGAACATGATGAAGAGCGAAGTCAGCTTAGGTGCAGGTTGATAAAATGCCTACGCAATGATCGCGAACAGTGGTGGGTGGCGAAAGCAGGAGCTATGGAAAAGGCAGTGGCAGTAGGCAACAGTAGACAGTTGTTCCGACTTATCAAGGGAACCGATATTATGAATCCAACTGTAAGCGAGACTATCTCAGAAATGAATGGTCTTATTATTCATTCCCAATCCAGGAGACTGGATCGATTGGCAGAACAATTTAGGGATCAGCAAGCTGGGTTGCTACTTCGATGTTGCGTGGTCCAGTCTGGCTGGTCGGTAGTTTGATAAAAACATTATTATAATTCTGTGTCCTAGCAACCAGATTAATATACTGTCGGAAGTCTTCTTACATGATATCGCAATGAATAAACTGATATGTAAATTTGCTAGTATGTAAAACACCAATATATCAGTATATCGCAATTAATGATTGTTAGCTTAATCAGTTCAAATCGGTATTGAATGAATCAATTATTGGAAATTCGAATGTTTTGTTGCATGATGCTTAGCGTGGCTTAATCTAGATTAACGATTTTTTTTAAAAATTGAGTGGTACTTTCATTGGCTATCTCATTTCGTTATAAATAAAGCCTTGATAATACTTAACGGCTTGATAAGAAAATCTTGTACCGGTAGGTTTGTTTTTTAAAGCATTGATTTTGCACAAAAGTTTGAACTAATTTTTTAAAGAGGTATGTTCACTCCTATAAGAAAGAATCCACACCGAATAATTTAAAATGCTTTACATTAAAGTCTTTTGAGATGATGAGTGAATAAAAATAGGGATGTGAGTTCGCAAGCCAAATTTATGGATTTTCTTTTATCCACGTAATTAAAAGTTTTGCAGTGGCATACAAACTAAAACTAGTTGTGAAAAAATCGAAGATCGTAGGGCAATATGTAGAACATGTTTGTGATTATATTAACAGTACGGACAAAAGCTAAAATATCTGAATTATTACTTACTGATTTAATTAGGTTCGATATTGGAAATGGAGCTCCTGAAAACTGTGCAAAGATGGGAAGGACAGATCGGATAAGCCGTTCTTGTGGAGTAGACAGTTTACTAACCAAAATATGTACATTTGCAAAGCAAGCGTATTATTGGCTGTCTTCCTCCACATGTCATCTAGTATTCTAAACACCGACCACGCCATAAATCCGGATCCGACGCTTCACTTCGGTAGTTAATTCAGGGCAACACTCCGTTGCATATCCACTACATGCTACTTATGAGCTTCACTGTAAGTAGTACACACCACAAGTTTACAAAAACGGTTATAACTATTAATTATATCGTTTGTTCAATAAATGCACTAAAGAAGTGCATAACATGCTCTAAGTTTCAATAAACCTATCACAAACAAGGTCAAGTTCATTAATATAGACATGAGATACAGTAAAACAAAAAGCATGATCTACTATTGACTGCCTATTCTGTTGTCCTTATTTTTTTTACTAAATTCACCAATCAAAAACTTCAAATCTGCAAACTGTAGATTCAATTGAATTCTGAGCAATATATATATATATATATTTAATTATCGTTGCTTTTATAGATAATACGATAGCTTGTACATATGATGAACTCAACCGAGAAATTAAATGATGTAATTGTGCATAGATCAAACGAAATATCATTTTATTTATGGTGGATATTAATTGGGTTCTTTTCTTCATTTCTGATAACTGAACTAATATCACCGGCTATATCGAGAATATGGTGTAAATCCTATGCAAGTATATCACGTAAACAATATCTGGAATGGAATGCAAGGTAAAAAATAATCGTTTAACTCTGATAATTATAATGAATAATAATTTTGTTCAAATCAGGGTTCATAAAGCGAATCAATATTCCGTTAACTGCTTTGTATAGTTATGAAGTTTATCAAAAATCGAATATAAGGTGCAACTAATATATGAAGATTAGATATTTTGACATCCCTAAAGCTGGCAGTTAAGATTTAGGTTCACCATTATGGATTGATTTAGGATTGAGGGTTATGATTTCCAGTTTCTAATTTCATGTTTAGGTTGGGGAAGTACAGTTTAAAATTTAGGTTTGTATGTAGGATCTATGGTACATACAGGCAAATCGTTAAATTCCAACGCATGATCCTAACTGCAGGCGTAAGTCCAAAATCACATATTCTAATCCTAGATGTTTAAATCTTTATCTTATTGCGAACAATTTAAACTTTTTGGTCATTTGACAACAAAATCAATTAATAAATAATTCTCATTTAATCAGGTTCATTGTTTTTTGTGTTTGGTGAATTTATTTGATTATCAAAATGAATTAACTGACCACTAACTTGAAAGAATCGATTTTTTAGTTAAACCATCCAAGACCCTAGCTCAAAATAGAAAATGGCTTGTTTAGTAACTCTGTTTATGTATTTCTGACATTATAATGGACCATGAAAGGTTTACGGATTATTTTCCTGAATTTCGGTGGTCATACATCTCACGAAATCATAGTTTAGCTCACTTGTTCTAATCAAACAGTGCTGTCGATTCTTTACTTTGTTTTATTCGGCAGTCACTCACAACTTTAGACCATTTAATAAATGATCGTTTTTGAATACTGATGATATTTAGTTTGAAACAGTAGTAACAAACCAGTTGTTTTGTGGAATACTTCACACTTAACAACTCTTCTGTTATTCACCGTGTCTATTAATCGGTTTTCCCATTAAAATCGTTAGTCATTTACAAGTCTCCTGTCATTCAACTCAATTCAACACAAAAAGTTTCATAGATCTATAGACTGTGGGTGAAAATTCGATAGATGCAGTATTCGAAAACAGTCTTAATGACTATGATGTATGAAACATCTAATTATGGGTCAAAAAATATCCTCCGGAAAACTGTTTTATCTATGAAAGATAAAACCACTTTTGTAGACTGAAAGGAAAATAATTCCATTTATTTTAGAGTGTTCAAATTTTAGTTAACGGATTGTTTACCACTAACCACCTTTACTTAAAAACACTTTTAACATTTTGGAAATACTGGAGCAATCCGAGCAGAATGAAAATATACCAAAACAAACTGTGGTCAGTTAAGGTCCTTAATTAAATATCAATAAAAAGATTCAAACTCACAGTGTTAGTCAATGAAACTGAAGTTAATGGTATTGTAAGCAAGCAGCTTTTAAAATATTACACCAATCGCATTGTTATTGTTTACAATTAATAATCAAATGTGCAGTAAAATGTAACTGCTGCCTTAATTTTTAAAATTTCATTGTACAGTTTAAGTTGAAATCACAAAAAATATCGAGTTGTGATGCGCTTCAAACATTAAGACCAAATTTACTGAATTACAATTCAGTATACGTCAAAATAAATACTTTAGATTTTTCATAGTTAACATTACTTGCTTATTCTAGTTAAGTACTGGATAGCTGTTTCAAATTAGCACGGGACTATCCAGCAGTGCACATATACGGCGGCTCCTCTCTGGATTGTACCAGCACCTTATTTTCGATCGCGAGATCAGTGTTAACTATTAAAACGAATAATCTCCGTCAACTCAATTAAAAGTAGGTTTTGTGCAAACACCAACAGCATTATGTATGAAGTTGACACATTCATTATTCAGATTGTTTCACAGGGAAACAAACATGAAAATTCAAACCAATCTCAAGGTTCAGAGTACGAAATCTTTCGCCTATCCGGTAAATACATGCAGAAAGAATCGTTATGGGGTTTTAGTAGGGTTATGAGTTGAACATTTGAATCAGTTGATACCAAATAGGTTTAAACTAAAGAAGAGCACTTTATGGGACACATCAAGTTGATCAAGTCATTTTAGAAATTAAGGATTGAAAGTAGATTTAATTCGGTCGTCCAGCTGTCGTATACGTCTGAAATCTAAGAAATTGTGAAATAAATATAACTGGATAATATTAAGACCTTAGGCAAAAATCCTTGTAAAATCTCATTGCATTTTTATTTCGACAAATAATTTTTTTTTACCTTCAAGCAAATGATAAGTACGTTTTCATAACTGACAAAACCATTGGGCTTCACATTATCACTAATCAGCTAATCTAACTTCAGTTATTTCAGTAACTACGGTCTGTTGGTGTATTTCTCTAATTAAAATCCGTTCGTTTCAATCATCTAAATATGATTAAGTTAAGTGATGATATTTTATGTTTGTCTTTTTTTATAGCTGCTAGTTATGGAGGCAAAATTGCTTTGTATGTTTGAATTTACTTAATCATATCTAAAGATCGAAGTAGTTATCATTTTTACTCTGAAAATATCATACAGTATTCTATCTCTTTAGTTTGTTAGTGTGACTTAAATCTTAAGACAGCCATCATATGTATTCATAGTGATTTATTTTAACGGTACCTTTTTTACGTAAACATTGGTGACTAATTTCTTAGTAGAGAACAGGTTTTGGTTTAACCCTTTTTATTGATTACGTGAATCACCTATTCACTTTGTCAGTATGTCCGTTAGTTCATTGATTCATTGAAACAATACGCTAAATATAAAGAATATCGGGGCAATCAGTAATCACAGATCAATATGTTATGCGTTTCGAATAACTAGTTGAAAGTATTCCTAACTTTTGACGTGTCACGACAAGTGAAGTTGTATTTTCAAGATTATTGGAACACCCAATCACATTTAGTGGTTTTTGTTCGCGAAATTCAGAGTGTGGATTTCAGCCTGGTGTAAACCAGAAAAAAGAATATATATGGATATATAGTAACCAATCATGTCGGTTTATTGGTCAATGAAAACCATGCTACAAATTGCACAACTCATCACTATCAATAAAAAGAATAGATTAACAGCTAGATGACATTAGTAGTAGCAATAATACGAATAGCGAAAACAGCATGATATTTAGAAAAACTATTCCAACAAAAAAAGCAGGTCACTTATATGAGAAAATAAACTTGTCACAATAATAATCCTTAAAAACTACATTACATAATGTGTACAAATCCTAAGTATAAATTTGCAAATAGTAGAAAAGAGATTTAAAAGTGATGAGAAAAATAAAAATGGAAATATATTAGTGGAAACTTCCATGTAACTTAATAACCTATTTACTATGTACCAATGTGAAGTATGAAACAACACAAATCTAGCTGTTCAGAAATAATCATAAACTTCATAAGTAAAATAAAACTTGTCTCTTAGACTCTGATTGCGCTTATCACTAGATGCCACCGAAATATGATGACAAGTAATATCAAGCGTTTGATATAAAGAGTTCGTATAAGAAAAAACCCCAGTCACTTTGGTTTTGCAAATCCAGCAAACATCAGTTTTATAATCAAATAACTTATTTATTTACATAAAAATGAAAAAGTGTAAGCAACTTGGAAAAGATGATTGCTGTTTGAAGAAAATCTAAATCGACGATTGATTCGACCACCGAGCCAGTTGTCAAGAAGACGGAACAGCCGCCGAATGCTTCCAGGTTTTTAAGGGTGATTGAACATTGACTTGGTCATTATTTCAATGAGAATAATTTCCTGTTTTATGCATTTCCATCTGCAAAAAACCAATATCACGCTGATTATCAACGACATGAATGCTCAGAAAACTCTGTAGGATTGAAGTATCCTTCGGATTATCGAAGTTATTTGTTAGGTATTTATTAAAATTTGCATAACACCAAAGAAAATAAAGGTTAACTTTTTGTAGTTGCGTTAAAGTGAAAACAATTCGGTTGTATTTTAACCCAACTTAGATTGTTTAGTTCTTACATCATTCAAACTGCTACAAAATGAATATTTCTTATGATATTTTATAATTTAGTTCGAATTGGCAGCTACGTATTACAATGTTTGAAGTCAATTCTACTTGAGCTGAGATTATAATTTACTCAGTAAACAAAAAGTTTTTAAAATGATCAGCTTCTTTTTGCTACCAGAGATACTCGTCTGAAATGATTGCTTGAATTAAATGTTAAAAAAGAATTTCATGTTTGATAAGCATGTAATGTATTTACATTCAAGTCAAGGTCAGTTTAGAGCTATGACTAACTTTCCATAATGTGTACTGAAGTTACTACAAAAATAAATTTTTCCGGAATTTGCTTCTTTTCCAAAATGTATGTTATAAGAACTAGTAAATTGATCGGTAAAATAACGATAAATGGAAAAACAACAACTGTAGTTCACAGTCATTTTCCTAGTTCTGATAGTTGGAAATACTAATAGCTAGCTAGACTAGTCTTATAAAGTGTTTTCCTAACTGAATCACATATTGCATAGTCGAACGAAATAGATTACAGAGAATGAAACTAGGCATATAAATTCTTGAGTGAGTTAAGAACTCTGGACAGTGTGTCCAGTATCTTTGAAGAGTGAAGGTTAGTTGTTTAACAGAATTATAGATCTGAAACGAAATCGGTGCTATCTGATAAAAGCTTTCGACCTTACACTGATTTGAGGAAATGGTAATGAGTGAAGCTTATTTCCGTTTACTTTTTATGATCATCATTTTTTATGTTGATCAATCAGAAAAATAGATTTAATCCCATTAAGATAAGATTACTACTATATCTTGTTATCTGAGGGTATGACGATGGCTGTGAGTGATGAGACTCTCAACGGCCAAGCTTTTTCATACCATAGAAATCAATAAATTTTTTATTTACTCTTTGTTTGGCATTGTTTTTTTTCTTTAAATTAAATTAGATGGCTATCAACAGCGCATTCCATCTTCATTTTACTGGTCAGTTTCTACTGTGTATTATTCAACAAGAAAATGCATGAAGATAAATTCTTGTAATACAAATTTATTCTTAAAGTTTGTTTTATGCATAGTTTGCTTAATAGTGATTTATCTTATATGTATGTGTGATAGATCCTAACTTAGTTTATTCCACTGAAATATTCATTCATTTTTACACGTTAAAGGAATAGCTCAATAATATTCTGATAAACAAGTTAACTAGGAAGCAAGTCAAATCATTGTAAACATCCTCTGGTTTCATTTCATTCAAATAATCATTGAAAAAAAGAAGGGCTGGACAGATTTCTCATCCTAGTACGTCACTTGTCTTTCACGTATGAAAGATCAGTTCATGAAATTCAGTGATCGTTACAATAAGCCTTAATAAGTTAGTTTCATATTTAGTAGACTTTGGTGGTGAAAAAGTAGTGAAACTGAGTTAATGCTAGTAGTGAAACACAGATTCGTATTGTAACCTGTATAATAGTATTTTTGTAGTTTGCATTCGTGTTTTCGAAGAATGAATGTAAGAAAAACCCTTGACATGTTGGTTTTTAGATCAATTTTTAAGATCACAGTTGGTCATACTTTGCACTTATACTAAATGGTTTTCAGTATCATCTTATTCATATATAAATATATTCGAAAGCTGACGAGGTTTTGGATCTGTTCTCGATGAAATTTTTAAATTTTGTTCACTTCACTTACGAAAACTATCTCCAAATGTCTCAATCATAACCTGCTTGATAGAGTTATCTGTCTTGGGTATTGATGGTAACATAAATCACCCTGTTCCCCATGTACTGATGAACAACTTATTTCGAAGTTCATTCACTGAATGCAATTGTTAAATATATAGGGTTGTTGGAGCTTAGAAATACACTGTACAGTCATTCCTCTTTATATTAATTTACTGAAAAGCTTTAAATCTGATATGCACATCGTGGATCTCCCCAACACACCCTCCTCTAACTTCCAAAAAAGGTTAATCTTATGAATGCGAATAGAGATTTAGAGAGTATGTGAAGATCTAGAACGAAAATTAATATAAATGAATCAACTTATTTAATTTTCCAGAAAAAAACCAGTCAACTACTTTATCCCTCAGCATGCGCACTTGACTTTGGTTTCAAGGCTGGTGAATTCGGCTTGTGGGTGCATCTAACAAAAGAGTACATTTGTAGGCTTAGACAATTTGAAACAACAAAGATATGTCCTTGACAAATTGATAATATTATTGGTCTGCTCCTACAGGAGTCTTTTTTTTGGATAAACCTTTATAAATTTCTTCAAATATAATAAAGTACACAATTATCAAATTCTCAATAAAATCGATTCAATCATCTGTTTGAAATACTTAACCTTAGATTCAGTAATTAACTGTCAATTCAATTCACGTTTTTCTAATCATAAAATGATTTCGCATGATTAATATTATCGAGTTGCTTTTTGGTTTGTAAAAAAGAACATTCTGTTGACGTAGATAAAATGATAAATTGATTGGTATAGCAAGTTGGTAATTTGGTAGTTGCTTATGTATGAAATTCACAATAAAGTACTACATATATTTATTTAATAGTACAGGATCCATTTTTGATAGGATTGGATTCAAGGTATAAAAGAAGATAAGAAAGTGTATTTGCATACATTCTACTCAATAACTCAGTGCATACAATTTACAAGGTAACAGTACGTACATCGATTCTCAAGGAGTATCGACCTTTCAGAGTGTTGAAGTTAGATCGTGTAAGTTTGATGAATTACGCATGGATAATGGTCAAACTAACTCAAGGAAATGAATGTATTTCCAACATAAGCCTTGATGGAATTAACAACATTCACTGCCACGTTTCTTAATTATTAAACGGTTATTGTATGATTTCTAGTTCCATAATTAATGTTCTTGGATGATAATAACCCTTTTCATGTTGTAATTGTGTTTCTAGAATAACATTTCTTCTTGTATAGAGTTATATGAAGCCTGGAAACGGGTGTGAAGATTGTTAAGTCGCACATTTAAAATCATGAATCGAACAATGGTAGACTACCATTAGAGACCCGGAAGCACTGGACGGCCGTTTCTTCCTAGTATGGGACTCATCAACAATGCGCATCCACAACTCCTGTACCTCGCAGGATTCGAACTCAGGACCTTTGTTCTACCTAAGACAGTGTATGAGGTTGCGCAAGACCGTGAACTGATCGAAGTTAGACATTAACACTGTTAGTTACCGGCTCAGTGGTCCAGAGGTTTGGCGTTCGCGCAGAAACCGAAGGTCCTGGGTTCGAATCCTGCAAGGAGCAGGAGTTGTGGGTGCGCACTGTTGATGAGTCCCATACCAGGACGAAACGGCCGTCCAGTGCTTCCGCGTTTCTAATGGTGGTCTAACAATGATCGATTCATGACAGTTGGAAATATTCTAAATTGCTACGTGTTAAGCATTTAATTTAAAAGTTCTTTCGACCAAATAGTAGCAATTAGTTGATTTAGAGAAATCAACTAGTGTATTATTAAGAGGAAAAAAGATTAGTCTAAGCCTGGTTGCTACTCAGGTAGAAAATTCTACATTAGAATTTAGTTTGCTAATTGCATTACTGAAAGATTATTTTAAAATACTAAGAAGCATATTTTGGCATTCCCTTAACTTCAAAACTTGGAACCACTTTATTTGAAATTGGTCAAAAGTACATTCAACAAGGTATGAAAGATCAGTAATGAGGTCATGACAAATAATTTTTTTTTTGAATGTCAAATAAAATGTCATTTCAGATAGTTCATTTACACCCATGAATTTCGAAAGACAAATGAATGAGGAAGTGGATGAGCAGTCTTTCAGTTTTTTTTTTCCTTATGTCAAATGATATTTGAACAATAGCATTTTCATCTCTTCTAATAAATGCACTGAGTTTGAGATTGAAACACGTAAAACAAAATAAAAAAAAAAGCATGCCTAAAATCAAATCAGAAAACACCACTTGTTGATTTACGCCTAGTTTTCAAGAGTCTTTAAACATATTATGACAGGTACTGGTTGAAACTAACTCAGAATACTGAAAAGATCCTCATTCTGAGCTAATCATTCACTTGATAGTGATGTAGACATTGCTCCAAAGCAGGAAATGCAGAAGATTCAAAACAACTTTAACATGTTATGTATCATAATTAGACGGAGTTTTGTTTTTCTCACTTTTGTTCTACATTTATTTTCAGTATTCATTTAGCTTTACTTGTTTTTTCACTGCTCTCGTCTACACAATCAATTTTATACCCCGACAAAATATCCACAAATTATGGTGTTAACATACACGTCGACAAATCAACGCAAAACGATTAATACAGTTACTCGGATTTCATAAGCAACGTTGGAATGTGCATATCGTGCGGTTACATGATTTATGGTAAGCAACTATTTTTACTCAAATATAATTTCCTTCTGTTTGCTTTCTGTTGACCACTTCTAATCAATAACTTTTGATCCAGTGTAGTCGGGGTAATTTTGATTCAGATCAGGTTTACGATTGAAGTCTTGTTTATGAGATCACAAAATTATCACCTTTATATCTGGCAGATTACTTTCGCTAAAAACGACCGGATCAATCACCACAATTTGCGAATATTTATTTGACTTTTGCATGACTGATTGTTTTAGAAAGCCAAAAGTGGAAATCGAACATTTTAAGTTCTGAGTGGTTCTCTGAAAAAAAGTTTATGGGTGTTATGCAGAACTAATTCTAGGAATAGATTTAAACTTAATGAAGTAAGTGAAATACAAGTTTAAAAGGAAAAATGTAAAGTCGTTCTAAAACACTTCAATTGGGATGCATCGTTTGGAACTTAGAGCATTTTGTGCACGCAGTCATTTCGATTCATTCTAACAACACCTGAACCTACGTCTAGTTTCAATAAGAAAATTTTACCATTCGTTTGTAAATCTTTTGATAATAACTAAAGCTCCTTATATAAAATCTTTCAATGTGGAAATGGAGAAATCAGATACTGATTTGATATATCGTCTAGCTTCGTTTTGGACCAGCTCTGCATTCCCTCAGCTATGGGTTTCAACCCAGCAAGTTGATGATACAGACTTTCAAACTGTATTTACATGTCTATTTTTCTGACCATATTTATTCGAAACGTGTTATTTAAACCTAAGGAATAATGCTTCGGTTCCAGTCTTGTTAAGCTGTGTATTTGTCAAATTATAAATAAATACTTCACAGCAAGTTCAGGAAAATCTTCATGTATTACAGCATGTATTAAGGATTTCATAAATATACTTTCCACAGATTTGGAAGTGTTGCCTTATTGCTCTTGGACAAATTTAACTAATTCTATCGGACAAACAATGTCAAGATGATCATAGAGTTTGTTAAACAAGGGCAGCTTGGATTTCAAGGTTGAAAAATACTAACCAAAGTACTTGATATGTCATTAAGTATTCTAGTTTAAATTCTTTTGAGATTTTGGAAGTTTGGTGGAAAAAAAGAAATTGAAAGAATTGTTTAAAGAAGCATCCTGCTTTTAACATCTTGTTTTCATTAAAATTTATTGTACTTCATAATTGTTCACTGATATATTATGCTCAACAATATCTGCGTGATTAACAAAGCGCGCACCAAATCACAACACTATAGCAATTTTCACGTTTTAAGTGGATTCCTTTAGCTTTCAGATATAAATTTCCGAGAAAAATCTTTTTAAACAGAACTACTGTACAGTTACCCGAACTCTTGTTTTATCAAGAGTAAACAGCTCACTGGATGGTTTGACAGCAAACTGTTCGGTAAATGAATGCAACAAATAGAAACTGTATGACATACGGATATTGAGCTTTGTCAACTGCATATATAATTCATAAATCCGAAAATATGTAGCTAATGTTATTCTAGTTGATATGTATACGTATGTGTAAACAGTTAATCGATATTAGTTGCACTAATTAGTCACATAGAAATCTACAAACTAATGTATGACTGAGGTCTCCATTGTATATATAAGGTATAAAAAATTTACGTAACTTGAACTGGATATAATTTGTCTTAGATGATCTAGTGTT